CTTGTGGGTCAAGACAAGTTCTCGGGTTATAGTGTCTTACTCGGAACGGACAACAAGATATCTTCATAATCTGTGCGAGGGGTGCTGCTTTAGACCTGCGAGAGAGTGGATGGATTTTCCTGTAACCCAAAAAAAAAAAAAGTTCCAAACATTGAGGCCATGACAAAAGGGGTGTTTGGTCTAGCTTAAAAAGACCAACTTATAGATTCTAGCTTTGAAAAAGTTAATTTAGACAGTTTGTTTTAGCTTCTGAAAAATAACTTTTGCTTCTAACAACTTTTTTGAAGCAGAAATAAGCTCCGAATCTAAAGCTACTAGGAGGCAGCTTCGCAGGTTCAGCTTATGCAGACGAGAAGGAGTATTACTTAAATATCCTTTGTCTTTTCAATTGTTTACTTTTCTACCACTACAGAAAACTCAAAGAAGAAAAACCAGAGAAAAGCTTGCCCATTCTCGTCGTCTTTCCCAGTATTAGCAACCTCAACTTCATCCTCACCGTTTCGCCACCGTTGTGAGAACTTGCCCATCCCCTTCACCTCTACATTCCAAACCCACATCACACTTAACCCAAATATATATATATATATATATAAACACACATAACAATTCATATTAAAAAAAAATCGATAATTGTGTACACACACACACACACATATATACAGAGAGAGAGAGAGAGAGAGAGAAAAAAAAAAAAAAAGAGAAGTACTTTATGTATATATATATATATATATAAGAAAAGCAAAAGAAAATTGAATGAATCAAGAGAGCTTCAAATCCAAAGTAGATATTCTTAAAAAAGAAAAAAAAAAGGATAATTTATTACAAAAAGTAAAGATAAATTCATCTTACAACTAACAGAGATAAAAAAGATACTTACACAACAAAAAGTTATTTTACAGCTTATTAAACAAACACTACTCAGTAACTTAAATATATAATCTAACAGTTATACCAAATAGATTAAAAACTTCTGATTAAAGTTACAATCTATAATCTATGAATAATGTTTGAGAGCTCTAATGCAGCTCCAATAATGTGTAGAATGTCCATGTGAAGGCGGGGCTCACACTCTTCTCTCTATCTCTCTCTCTCTCTCTCTCTCTCTCTCTCTCTCACCTCACTAGAACTCCATTTAGAGCTCTAGTATTAAAGCTATGTATCATTACTGATAATCTATCAAGTTATAAGTTATAATCTGTTTTATCAGCCACACCAAACACCCCTTAAGTTGTCGTCATCGTCATGCATGGCTAGAGATGGAAAGCCACACATAGTTATGTTTCCATGGTTAGCCTTTGGTCATATGCTTCCATTCTTAGAGCTCTCCAAGCTCATAGCCCAAAATGGTCTAAGAGTCTCTTTCGTATCCACTCCTAGAAACATCCACAGACTCCCCAAATTGCCTCCAAATCTATCCCCTTTCATCAATTTAGTGATATCCAAAGTCAACCAACTCCCCAAAATGCAAAATCCACACTTGATCTTCCCCACCACAAAGTCAAGTACCTCGTGAAGGCCTTTTTCTACGATCAACTCCAACAGCCCATGTCCCAAATTCTCTCAGATTTATCTCCCCATTAGGTAATTTACGATTTCGCACCATATTGGCTCGGCCCTCTTGCCTTCAAACTTGGCATCCCCAGAGTCTTCTTCAGTGCCTGCGTTGTGCTTTCTGGGTCCTGTACCAGTGTCAAAGCGCACGAGTGGTGAAGACGATCGCACAACACCAGAGGACTTCACTCACTACGCGATAAACCCAAATGGATCCCATTTGAATCAAAAATTGGGTTTAAGCTCTTCGAGATTAAGTTCAACGACATATCCACCAATGATGAAAACGTTTCGACTACATTTCGCTTTGAAGCGGGAATTGAAGCTTGTGGTGTCTTGGCTGTGAAAAGCTCTTATGGGTTCAAACTCGAATGGTTGAAACTCATGGAAGAGATTCACATGATTTGGGCCCAAATGGCAATGTTTATCTTGACCCACTCCACATATAAATGATTTGGTAATTTTGGGAGCACTTCAACGGTTTAAAATCCATCTAATTTTAAAATAAATTATTTGTTCCATTTAATTTTATATATTTTTAATTGTTATTAAATTTAAAGATGCTGCCATGTCCTATCATCGCCAGACTATCGTCGGATTTTCGTCTGACAATCAGAGACTTGCTATAATGTTCAACAGCGTCGGAAAGTTCTCGGAGTATCGCTAGAGTATTCTGAATGTTACCGGAAGTCGTCGGAATGTTTGTCATTGGACATCGAGAATATCGTCTAAGACTCACCAAAATGTCCAAAACATCATTAGGGAGAAAAAAAACAGAAGAAAAAATAGAGAAATTGGAGCTAAAACATAACAAAATTTAATCATATATATCCTCTCCAACACCACAAAACATGAAGAAAAAAAAAACTCTTTTAGAGTACATAATTTTCAATTCACAAATTTATAAAAATTTAAATTTTGAATTAATTGCTCATCAAGCATCATAAATTTATAGTTTTAAAACTATAAAAATTATCGGTTTGCTTGTTTATCAAAACACAATTTCACGTCGGGATGATTGTGAAGATCTCAAATCAAAAGCTTCTAAGAGTTTGTAAATTTTCAGTTTGTCAATATTTGCTAAGCTTTTTTTGTTTTTTTAATAAAGAAAAAAAAAGGCTACAACCATAGAGAAAAGTAGAAACGTATCTTCAAAATTTTACAATTTTACAATTTCCACCGTTTTTAACTAAAACTCTTTGTTCAGAATTTAAAAATTTTCTCTATTAAAATAGGAAGAGAGAAGTGTGTAGTAGAGAAAAAGAGTAAAAACTGATAGATCAAAGAAGAGAGGCAAACATAGAGAGATGATTGGACTCCGATAACTATTTTTATTTAGATTTAGCCAGATCTGATGTAAATTTACTCATATCTACTCTAAAACTGAATATTCTAGTGAGTTGTCTTGTGATCTTGACCAAATCTGAGCAAATCTATGTGAAGAGCATCGCTAGAAACTCATCGCCTTCGTCGTCAGGCGAAACAAGGAGTCGGTAGTTGATGGTTGCTGGAGAATCACAAAGCAGAAAGAGAAAGAGAAGAATTACGGTGACACTTCGCCATCTTCTCTCCTTCGAATGAAATCACTCTAGCACCACCACCACATGCATAATTATAGTACAAAACTTCACACATAACCTTTCTATAAAGAAGAGAAAACTAGAATCCGGACTGTACTTTAATAAAGAGAGAAAGTTTCCTAGAAAAGGGACATACAATGCATCTATGGGAGAGAAATGCGCATGATATTCGTTGCTATGACTACTGTGGGAAATAACTCATTTGCCTTAGGACTTTTGAGTTTACACAAAAAAAAAAATTATGGAACTAAATAGAGTATACTTCATTCAAAGAGGACATGTGGATAATTTGTCCAATTTTTTTAGAATTTTTAACATTTTTTTTAGTATTTGTAACATTACTTTTAAATAAATTTACACAATAAATTTTTTTTTTTTTTAATGAAGTTCAGGCAATTTAAATGACTAAAATTTGTAACATTATTTTTTTTCTTAATGAAGCTCAGGCTATGATAGGAAGCTTCTCTGTTTCTAACTATTTTCCTTTGATGGGTTGGGTTGGATTGATATAGTCACTGGAATGAGTGCTAGGGTTTAGAAGAATTTCAAGGAATTGGATATGTTCTATCAAGAATTCATTGATGATCATCTCAATCCAAAGAGGACTGAATTCATGCAAGAGGACATCCTTGGCATCTTACTTCAACTGAGAAAGGATCAGTTCAGTCCAATTGATTTGACTTTGAATCATATTAAAGCAGTGCTCCTGGTGAGTTAGTGACTAAAAAAACTATATACAATTTCTTGTTCATGTGGTTGTAGACTAAAAGCACCACTAAATTCTGCTAGTAGAATCTCATTTTGAACTAAACATTGCTTAAAACTCCAAATTTCCACTCCATTCAAAACCCCCCAAAAAATTAATAATAATATTTTTACCTTGTAGAATATTTTCACAGGTGAACCTGACACAAGTGCAGCCACCGTGGTTTGGGTGATGATTGCGCTGATAAAAAGCTGTGATGGAGAAAGTTCAAGAAGTAAAAAAGTCGATAGGAAAGAAAGATATGGTGGGCGAAGATGATGCTTAAAAGCTTCCTTATTTGAAGTCGGTAATAAAAGAGGCAATGAGACTATACCCATCCATTCCACTCTTGCCACGACAAACAATTGACAAGTGCATCATAGATGGGTATGAAATTCAACCCAAAACCTTGGTTTATATTAATTCATGGGCCATTGGAAGGGACCCTGAAGTTTGGAAAAACTCAGAAGAATACTTGCCTGGGAGATTTTTGGATTGTGATATTGATTTTAGAGGACTAAATTTTGGACTAATTCCAGTTGGATCTGGTCGAAGAGCATCCTGGGATCAATCTAGGAGTTACAACAGTAGAGCTTGCACTTGCCAATCTTCTTTACTCATTTGATTGGGAATTATCTGCTGGGATGACAATTGAAGATATTGATACTAATATCAAGCCTGGTCTTAGGCATAAGAGAAATGCTCTTTGCCTAATGCCTAAGAACTACTCTGTGTAACTAAGGCATCCTTAGCTTGTTAACTAAAATAAGACCTCCAAAAAAGCATAATAATGTTAAGAATTTCACGTGTCAACACTGAAAATAAATATGAATGATGAGATATAATATACTAACACAATTTTAACATCTATGATGATAATAAATAATAATAAAAAGTAATCATCTAGCATTATTGTAAAAAAAACAATGCTAACAAATTAGTTTATTTAGTTCATTTCTAATTTTTTGACTTTTTATTATTATTATTTTTTTAAAATATAAACATGTTTGGATTTTCTAATATATCCTTCTTGTGAGGGCAGGAAGATAACTACGGACAAAGTTGGGCCGGCAGGGCCCAAGTCCACTGATGTTTTGGTTCTAACCCATCCACGCATCAGTTGCTATTAAAGGCCCAACGGCCCATCGATTGGAACAAACCGTTGAGATGATCAACTTTCTTACTTTTCTTGAACTTTCTTCATCGCTTTGGGATTTTTCATCAATGCAATCATCACCCAAACCACGGCTGCTACACCTGTGTCTGTTCCACCGGCAAATATATTCTACAAAGAAAGTTAAAAAATTAATTGATATATATATATATATAGGTTTTGAATAAAGTGGGAAATTGGACTTGTAAGCATATACTGAGAGGATAAATTGAAATTTGGGCTACTAAATTTTTTTTGGACATTTTAGTAGTGTTAGTCCCCAACTCAAACTCACCATGAGGACTGCTTTAATGTGATCCAAAGTGAGATCAATTGGAGGGAACTGATCATTTCTCAATTGAAGGAAGATGTCAATAATGTCCTCTTGCATGAATTCAGTCCTCTTTGGATTGAGATGATCATCAATGAGGTCTTGATTGAACAAATCCAATTCCTTGAAATTCTTCTCTAGCCTAGCATGCATTCCAGTGACTACCCACCAAAGGAAAATAATCAGAAACAAAGAAGCTTCCCATCATTGCCTGAGCTTCATTAAGAAGTCCATGAAATCTACTTCTTTCAAACCCTTCACTTTCCTCGTACCTTTTCCCAAATGCCACTCTGCAAATCAATGTGATTGTAAGAGACATCACTACCTTACTCAAATTAACAACCTTTGATGAATCCGCGAGTTGGGATATTTTCTTCACCATCCTTGAAACCTTGTCTTCGCGACTGAGCCAAAAGGATTAGACTCTCTTGGAGCCAAAAAGATGAACAAATATCTTTCTCATCTCTCTCCACGAGTCGTTGTGAGGTGAGAACGCCACGTCTAAGCCATTGTAAGAAAGCTTTTGTTGTCTGAGTAAGATTGGTCTGCCTGAAAATGCGAGGTCATGGGTTTTCATGACGTGTTTCACCATTTTCGCAGAGGAGATCACGAGGGTTAGAACAGAGCCAAATCAAAGGGACATGAGAGGACCATGTTCTTGAGCTAGTTGGTATAGGTAGCTGTGTGGTGCTGATGAGTTAAGGATGATTTGGTGTAAGTTTCCGATGAGGGGAAGTCCTGGAGGACCTGGTGGTGGACGAGGTGTTTGTCCATTTGCTGTTATGTGTTTGATGAAGAAGAAATAATAGTAGAATTGGAAGAGCTAGAAGGAAAAGACGAAGAATTAACATGGTTAGTTGAGTTGTTGCAAGTGTTTGCTAGATATAGTAATGATGTGAAAAAGATAGTCCTTTTATAAACCTCTTCCAAGATCCATGTATGGAAAATGGAAAAAAATGATTCAATTCGGCATTGCCACCCAAAACTGAGGACAAATTGTTTGGGTGGACAAAAATTTTATGACTATTAGGTTAATTTATTTATTTTTAAATTATTGATGATTTATATATTGAAATGTAAAAAAATAAACGAAATGGATTATGAAAGTGAGACTCGTGATAGGTCTCACGGCTTGGACTGGATGGTACAGTCTACTTTAGTATACATTAGATTGGAGAGGAACTGAGTTGAACTGAGTTTTAATTTTTTGGATATGTTTTTAATTCTATGTACATATCTTTAGTGTTAAGTGTAACCCACACTACACTCAAATGAATAGTCACAAAATATGAGTAATTATCTTGTCTTTTCAAAATACTACATCAACTATGTACTCGTCTAATAATAAATATCTATATACTCACATGGTCCGCGAAATAAAAATAATAATAGGCAAATTATGAAATAATATTAGTTTGAAAACACAATCACATCACATAGTCTTTTGTACCTACGTAATAATTTTGGCACAAAATATACTCTCTTTTTGTAATTTTTTATATTCTAATTTTGTGAGGATAGTATTTATTTTGTTAGTGACATTAAATAATTGCAAAAAAATAAAATGGACATGATTTGTCTTAGAAATGATATGAATTGTCATTGTTACACTCAGCTTTTGCTTTTGAAGCCACGCCCAGCAGCCTCACATTCATTACCACTAAAGTGAATCTCCCATTTCGCTCTCACTAAAATAAGTTTTTTATTTGATTTGATTTGAGTTAATTGAGAACAAACCAAGAACGTCAAGTTATTTAGTTTTGGACACAAAACTAGTAGTTCTTCAAGAATTGAATCAAACCTAATTGAAAGCCGAATTTATTCAATTTATGGAATTAATGGTTAGTTTGTCTATCCCTAGTTACAACTTTAAATTAGGTGTTTGTTTCAAAAGAGACTTTAGTCCTACCTAGTTCACAACAAAATAAAATAAAATAAAAATAAATAAATAATAAAATTTGAAAATAAATAAATTAAGAAAAATTAATTACTTATCATGTTGATCAAAGCAAGGACGGATGTAGGGGATGCCGGCAAGGACGGTTGCGCCCCTAATATGTTTAAAAATTATGTATGTTAGTAAGATAATTTTAAATTTGAGTAGCTCGCACCCTCCAAAATATTTACATTACAAAATTTAAAAAATTAGTTTTTAAATTGAATTTTATCAAATATTGATCTATTCTATTTGTTATCTGTATTATTTGTTATATTTCTATATTGTTTAAAGTTGTATTCTTTTATTTGTTTCTAATTGTTACTATTCTTGTTTTTTCTTTTCATATGCCATTTATGTTTTTTTTTTCTTTTTTTATAAATCACATTTTATTTTGCTTATGCGTCTTATTTTACATTTATTCTTATTTGTTCATTCTCTAGAAATAGAAATATTGTCTAGAAATAAAAATTTTATCTACTTCAACATGACATTCTTAAAATAACTTAATAAAATTTAATACCACTTATTGAAACGAATTATCATTATTCTCATAAAAACATACATTTTCAATTCTAAATTTTTTTTCAAAATTAAACTACGTAATAAAATGAAAGATGATTTTGTAACAAGTTATTTGATCATATTTATTGAGAAAGATATTCATTAAGGCTTTGATATCAAATTTATCATAGATGTTTTTATATATATTATAAAAAGTGGTGATTACAACATTTTAAAATAGTTAACTTTAGTAGATGGAGATCTAGTTATAGTAATAGTTAATATTTTATTAAGTTAATGCAGACAAACAATGTGTCTAATTATATTTTTGTTCTCAATTATGTTAACAAAGAATGTTCGATAAATAGCAATATTATTCATTTTTCTTGTGTTGGTATAAATCAAAATTAAAATTTTATAATAATTTTTTTGATAAAAAAATACATGCTTTTTTGCTCCCTCAAAACTCAAATCTTAGATTCGTGGATCAAAGAGTATAACTTTTATGATGGTATGAGCCCTACATTTTTTTTTTTTTTTACAAATTTAAATTACATTTCAATTCTTAAGAAAATGTTACATAAAAAAGAATTTATTATCACAACTTCTGTGTCTAGTGATTAAAAATTGAATAAAAAATTTGTATATAGATAACATTAATTCTTATGCACAAGCCAGAACGAGAGAAAGAAATTAATCGTAAAAATAAAAAATAGTTATAAATTGGTAGGCCCTGCTGAGGAAGGCTGGGTCCTGGGTTCACTAATTGACATTTAAAATGGGAGCAATGGTAGAGGGCCCAAATTCTGTGGCTCAAATGGTCAAAACGACGTCGTTTTGAGTACAAAACAACATCAAAATGGCCAAAACGACGTCGTTTTGGCCATTTGAGCCACATTTGAGCCACAGAATTAGGGCCCCCAAACATTTTTCTTAAAATGGCGCCTCGTTTCAATAATGTTTCAATTGGGTCTTGGGCCCAAGAAGTTCTGATTCTATCACATAAAGCCGAGACCAGCCCATTTATCTAACCATTTCAACGTTTTTTTTTTTTTTTAAAAAAAAAAATTTTTTTTTTTTTTTTAAAAAAAAAAATAATATGTTTTGTTTTGTTCTGCCTTGGTCTTTTGTTCGAGGTGACTATTGAGGAACATTGTTTGGTACTAGAGCAGCACAAAACTTTAGAAAGCAAATGAAACGGATATAATTTTTTTTTTTTTAAAATTTACAAGTCCAAAACCTTATATAATCTCAATAATATCACGTAAGGTGTTCACGGTTCGAATTTGGATAATTTGTGGATTGGTTTGGATTCGCTCGTATTTATGTGGTTTGGGAAAAAGATAACCCATAACCATTCGCAATGCGGTTTGCGATTTGTGCATATAGAGTTCGCAAATGTGCGGACGGTTGAGGGGCGGTTTGCGGATTGAATTTTTTTCTTCAAAAATTTATTTTTGAGCCTTATTTTTTCTTATTTTGTAAATATTTATTTTGGGCTATTTTTTTTCCATTTTCTAAAATGCTCCAACATTAATAATTAATGAATTAAAACTTATAAAATTAAAAACACAACAAAATCAATTCGTAACGCAAACAAATCATTCAAAATCTTAAACTAACACAAGTACATATTTCAAAATCCTAAACTAGAACTCCACATTCATTAAGGAATTTAAAATTCCAAATCACACTTCATCCGGGTCAAATTCAGTTATGTAACAATAATAATATGATCAGTATTTATTCAGTTTCAGTTTATATAATACTATTAGCAAATGAAATGTTAGAATAAGTTCAAAGAATAAAGGGTGTTTTTGTTTTAGGCAAAAATATTTAGGTGCGATATAGGAATGAAATCAACGGTTAAGATAAAAATAAAATAAATAAAAAGTGCGAGCGGATTCGTGCGGGTGCGGGTTAAACCCGTAACCCGCCTGCAACCCCAAAGATGTCACATTTCAAACCGCAACCGCCCGCATTGTGTTTGTAAAATCACCCATTTATATACGAGTTGGACAATTTTTACAGATTAGATAACCCGTTGCCCACCCTATTACCATAATATAAAAGTTTTTCTTAAAAAAAAAAAAATTGCGGGTCTCAGTCCTACCCTGCTGCACCACCACATCCAGGCAAACAAAATTTTATTCCTTTAAAAAGTTACAAACAAAATTTAAAAATAATTTTTTTACTAATAATTAAAAATAATCTTTAAAAACTAAACTAACCAAAATTTTAACAGAATTAGAGGTGGACCACACCACCGCACCCAACAAGATAAAAGTTATAACTATGATACAGACCCCACTATTCCCAGACACATGGAGGTTAGAAATTGAAGAAAAAATAATAATAATAATAATTTAGCCAATGACCGCCCATTGGGTCCTATGTGTCTTTCCCAGTGGGGTCCCAAGCATTTTGCACAAAAGATATGAAACTTTTTTTTATTTTTGGACTAAGGTCTTATTTGGCGTACATTAAAAAATTCAAAAAGTCACTATCCTATTTAAGTTATCTCACCTCTCTACCCCATCACTTCAAACTCAACACATACCCAACCCATAAATCATAAAAAATCAAAAAATATACTTATTTAAAATATCTCAAACCATCCTTAAGAAAAGGTATCAACCTTGGTCACACTTTATCAAACACTCAAAACCAAAAATAGAGATTGGGATTTATCTGGTTAGTTTAAAGAACAACAAAACTAAAAAGTATGGACCTATCCGCTCCCTCACCAACAGAGTCGGAACCAGAATTTTATTATCGGAGGGGTCAAAAGAAAAATAATTTTTTTTCAACATATACACAAAACACACATATATGTATAATATAATATATATAAATTATATATACATAATAAAAAAAATTAGATACCATA